CTGAAAGTTCAAAGTACACAGGCAAGTGATTGAACACAGATTTATTTTGTTCACATTGATTTGCATCAATAAATATGATTTTATGAAATGTTTTTCAAAGTTTTGGTACAATGCGATGTAAATATTAAACGTAGTACCTAAAATTTCTGATGACCTAGAAAATAAAAAGTGAGAAAGAACATCGAAATTAAGATCAGATTTATCTTATCAAGGTCAAATATTTAGTTTGTTAAATAATTAACAATTTAAATTTGAATGATTTACAAAAACATATGTCAAAGAAATAATGCTTATGATCAAATCCTAATAAAAGTTACTAATTTGAAGCATTCAGTGATACAGAAGGTCATTACAAATTGTACATGACTGACACAAAAACAAATTTATCAAAAAGTGCTTTTTAAGATACTTTGTAATTAAGTTAACGTGTTTCTAAAATATTGTTATTACTGCAGTATTCTATCGTATAAATTTACTTAAAAAATATTTGTATGACATATTTGTTATGTTATTTTTTAAAATTCATTACATAAATTTGTTATTTTGCCCAAAAGATTTTACCTGCTAAATAAGTAAAAAAAATCAATTACGTTAATCATTTAGTGCCATAAAATAGATTTTCTGTTTCAAAGTACAAAATGAAAAGGCTGATGAAATGACGGATCATCTATATATAAGTCCATGAGAGTCCATTCAAGAAATATTCTTAATAATTCATGGGCAAAGGGATGTACCTCTGAGTTATTTTTCTGGGAAGAACACTATTATACTTGTTAGAGTCAATGTTTTTTTTTTTATCCCACATAACCATTTTAGTACACACCTGTGATATTTAGGTCATTCTTTTATAAGAATAGATTTTTCTAAGATATCAGCATTTCAGCCCACAAGAAGAGTCCTCACAATCAAATAACATTAACTGGTTAGGAAAAACAAAACTACTTACAACATTTATATAAGGAAAGATATGGAGATAACGAACAGTATTCAATCTCAGAGTCTATTAAACAATATACAAAATAAGAGCAGAGCAAACACGGACCTCCAAAACCTCAGAGGTGGGATCAGGTGCCATGAAGGAGTGAGTATCCCCTGCCGACCGGTCCCACCCTCCGTGTGCTCCTTGTCATGATCACGAGATAGCGGAAAAAATCCGTCGTCAATTCAAAGTATAAATAATGGACTAACAATTGGTATGAAAAACGTCAGTCAGCATTTGACTCAATGATAAATTGTATTTGCTGACAAGCTCATTGTATCGACCATAGAACTTACGAAATGATCACTTTAAACGTGACTGTTGATATTCTTGTTTCATCAACTTGATGGTCAATAATTTACCTCGTTTAAGAAATTGTTCATACGTAGAGCATGCTCTAGCTTATCGATTCAACTGAGATATATATACTCCATGAAGTTATATTGCTGTATAAGTACGGGAAGTTGACGATAGAAAAGTTAAAGTCATCACGTTTATCATATAGCTTGGCTGTTAGATTACCATTAGTGTCTTTTTCAAGTAAAATATTCAAGTATGAAGTAGACGTGTCGTACTCTATGGTATCTTTTATCTCATGCTCACCAGGATATATCATATCGACGTAGGAATGGAAATTATCATTATTAATTGACAATACGTCGTCGATACATGTATATCTAAATGTCGAGCTGAAGGCCACAGCAAGTGTTTTCTTCTTTTCACGCATAAGATTTTGCATGAATTCTGCTTCATATGAATATAAAAATAAGTCTGCTAATAAAGGAGCGCAATTTGTACCCATGGGAATTCCAATAGATTGTTGTAATACCTGGTCTCCAAAATCCACATAGATATTGTCAATCAGAAACTCAAGCATCTTCTTGATGTCAACTTCAGAGTACTTATGTGTGCAATCAGAATCTGTTTTAACAAAATAATTTTGCAAATGACCAATGACGAGGTAAGTAAATTTACGAGTTCCATTTTTATTGAAGAAGCAGCTGTCAATGATATCCAAAAGCCTATATTTTAATTTGTCGTGGGAAATTGTTGTGTATAAAGTTGAAAAGTCGTAAGTTTTTAAGCTGTTGATTTTTGTAAAGTCTTGTGATTTCAAATTGTCCAAAAGTTCTTTAGAATTTTTAAGTATCCACATCTGATTTACACCACTTCTTGAATATTTAGTTGCACAGTACTCTTGAAGTTTTTCCTTCACTACTGTCAATATCTTAGTGAGAAGTAACGAAAGAGGCTTGGTTGAACATTTACTAGAACCTGCAATGTATCTTTGTGAGGATTCTTATGAAGTTTCGGAATCTAATATATATAAGGTAGTTCAAATTCATTTTGGCTCTGTGGAATATTAAAAGTATTCAAAACTGACAGGTGATTTTGAAGAATTTCTTCCTTAGAAAGAGAAGTATGAGTATGAGTAGGATTACCACTTGTAGAATTAAATCCAAGTTCTTCTAGAATGCAATTTATATAATGAGCCTTACAAACGAAGACAATTTTATTACCCTTTGTCGACAGGAACCAGTACATACTAATTGTGTAATATTGTATATATAATTTTTTTTTCACTTCTGGTTTATTGATCACAGAAGGATTGATGGTTTTCATAAATCCATTCCTGCTTCATAATTTTTTTGTATGATGACATTAAAAATAAATGCTATGTAAAGGCGTGTAGTTAGATAAACAGAAGGTTGATTTGTAAAGTAGTTTATAAAAACAGACACGTATTCTAGGGCCATTGACTTGCTTCTATTTAAGATCTGATTGTTTCTTAAAGATATTTACATCCACTGAATATTTTCTTCTTTATTTCTTAAGAAAACCCATTGCGTTCATCACTGCAAGAACTACATTAGGCATACCACCTGTACAGATTTCTTGATCAGTGGCCGTTCCATCAATGAAAATTACAATGATGTTTGCATCATTTACATAATAATTGATATTTTTAATCCTACTTAAAATGATAATCTAAACAGATATAACTATAAACAATAAAATGTCTCTCTTTTTTTTGTTATTACTGGAATGAATGGAAGCAGCTGTTGCAGAAAAAATACATAACCAGCGTTATTTATTGTTAATGATAAACAAAGAAAACATTTTATTGTTTTAATAAAAGGTTCAAAGACATATATTAGCAGTGCAGATAAAAATCAAATTGATATTCCTAGAAAGGATTCCCTCTCAACTTACATACTTTATTGAATAGTCGGTTTAAAATTGTACGACCTTCAAAAAATAGCATTATAGCATAAACAAATTTCCTCACAGTGTGTCGAAACAGTATGATATTAATTTTATAAAATATCACACAAAGTCTGAAAATCTTACACACACGTTATTGACATAGTTAATTATCCACAGACCTGTATTGTTTAGTAGTTTTTTTTTTCAAATCAACCCCTGTTCCCCCACATTTTAGTAATGTACTCATTAAAGTGCTCAAGTACTACAAAAAAAAAGAAAACTGTTTAAAAAGGATCTCTGCACTTCATTACAAAATTCGCGGAAGAACAAATATGATAGTTATAGTTTTTGATGATAGGAAAACCAAGGCCTTCCGCTAATGAATATTTAAATTTTAAATGAGATAAAGAAATATGTAGAGGATTATAGATTCTATGTCTATTTGTTACGATAAATTTGATAATCTAACAGCAGTTTAGATGTTCCTTACCAATCAGGAAGGATATGGAGATAACGAACAGTATTCAATCTCAAAGTCCATAAAACAATACAAAATAAGAGCAGAGCGAACACGAACCTCCAAAACATCAGAAGTGGGATCAGGAAGCATGGAGGAGTGAGCGTGCCCTTGTCATGATAAGGAAATAACGAAAAATCCGTCGTTATTTCAGTGTATAAATAATGGACTAACAATTGGTATGAAAAACGTCAGTCAGCATTTGACTCAATGATAAATTGTATTTACTGACAAGGTCATTGTATCGACCATAGAACTTAAGAAATTTAAACGAGACTGCTGATGAATGAATAAATAAATAAGTAAGTAAATAAGCTTTACATATTACAAATTCCAATTGCCGACTTTCTTTTTATTTATTCATGAATAATTGCTACAGAATAAACAGATAAGTTTTTTTGTTTGTTAACATGGAATTTAAAAAAAACCAAACAGAAATATATCCGTCAAGGAAAAATATATTATATTTGGAGATGCTCCTTTTAGGCACATGATCTCGTCTCTGGAATTTCCAGCTGTCTGTGATTATTCCCTCTTGATATATTTTATTGAGATCGATCAATAACCCTTCTGTTTACCTTTCACTTATCAGAGAGAGAGAGAGAGAGAGAGAGGGAGAGAGAGATATATATATATATAAAAGGAATATATGCAAATAAATTCAATTATGTCATATTAACACTTTACAAATTACATAAATGTCCTGAAAAACACTTCCTTCGAAATGTTAGTGAACTACATGCAATTACTAATTCTTCCTGGTTTTAACGATTGAAACTTTAAATGTAAGGATCAAAGTTGGAGAGGAAATTGTTTTAAATACATCACAGAATACGTTAAGTCTGAACTGCGTCAAATTTGCAATAATTAATATTGTCTTTGTTGTTTGATTGAAGAATGCTTGGTTTCACGCGCATGGACCTATTATTATTCTTAGGGATTTTATGTTTTGCAAATGGTAAGAAGGGTTTTTTATGTTTTGTAGTAATTTTCAATCTATTTTTGTTCTGTAGAACTGTTTCTGAATCTTTCTACTTTTCCTTCGTTCAGGTTGCGTTCACTGTTCGTTCAGCGAACGCTCTCTGTTCACATATTTGCGTTCACCGTGCGCTCGCCTTCATTGTTCACAAAAGGATCAGTTTTCACTCTCCGTTTCGATTACTTTGTGTTCATCTTGAGTTCAGCGTTCATTTATCGATCAGTTTTTTTTTTGTTATTCGGAACTCCGAAGAGAGGAGGATATCGTGATTGAAAATTCATTATTTCATGGCAAAAATCATATAAGGATATTTATATTTTTATTATTTGAGCTGTTTTTTTTTTTATTAATTTTCTCTGGAAAATAAATGTTGTAATAATTATACACATTAAGTACTTACATGTATCTACATGTAGAATGATAAGAAATATAAAATTAAAATAAGGACAATGTACAAATACTTCAAGCACTGCGATATATTGCTGTTATATAAAGACGACAAATCGTCAATGGATAGATAGAGTCTATGTTATTATTTAACCAAATGCAGCAAAAATACAAAAAAATATTTATGACACGTATTTTTAAATAATACATAAAATATGTGAGAACTAGTTTTGAAAATCATAAACAGTACTGTGGATATTCAGTTAATTAAATATCTTTAGAGCTAATTTAATAAATAGTGAGTTTAAAAAAATCATTTAAACTGTTTAAAAAGTAAAATTACAATTTCAATGTCTTTTTCCTAGATAAAATAACAAACAGTTAATGTACATTTTTTTACATACATGTAAATGCACATATACTTGTTCATCGATAGGCATGGTTAAAACACTTACATGCGGGCGTGAAAAATAGAAACAGAAGCAGGATTTGTAACACATAGATTTGTGGGATCAAAAGCATGTATATATACGAGGGTTGTCCAAAAAGTTCGTGGACAATGAAGTTTTTGTGAGAATAAAATGTTCTATATAAATCTGTTGTATATAAAAATATTTCTTATGAAAAAACAGATCAGAATGATTTAGTTTTTACAGAGGGAACGTAATATTTTTGTAAAAATCGGGGTCTTTAGAGGTGGGGGATAGTGCACACGGACCAAGGTCAAAATGATGTAAACTCTGATATAAAGAGTTCGGATTAAAATGATTATTTTCTATATAAACCAAGTCAAAAATTATTGAAAATTTTATGTAACACAAATAAAGAGGTTATTATCATTTTATGATATCTTGAATATCGCTTGCTATATAGACAACGAAAATACATAAAGAAAACCTTAACAAGTACGTGTCAAAACTCAACAGAAAAAGTGACGTCGTCCGTCGGCACGGGTCAGCGTCCGGTCAAAAAAATAAGTAATTTAACGGTTGAAACGATGTAAGAAACAAAATATTTGCTAAAACAACTCAAATCATTGAAATATAATGAATGTATTGATTTGGGATTCGTATATACGATTTTTCAACGGTTTGTACAAATTCAAAGACACTACAAGAATTTAAAAACCCATGTAATTAACTCTAATTGGAGATTTCTATTCATGACGTAATTATAAATCTAGCGCAGCGTCGGACTGGTCTGTTCAGTTTGGGTATACAACTTTTAATTTAGATGACGCTCGTAAATTTGTGCGCAGCTTTGAATTTTAGAAATTAAATAAATTATAATATGTACTTAAAAATTATTGCTAGCACTTCGAAGTGCGTTCCGCCTTAAAAAAGAAATGTAGTGTGTGTCCATGAACATGTGTTAAGTCAAAATCCAAATGTTTGACGTTATAATGAAATTAGTGTAACGTCATGCTGGTCCGTGCGCACAATCTGCGATCTTTAAAAACCCCGATTTTTACAAAAATATTAAGTTTCATCAATAAAAATTAAATCATTCTGACTTATTTTTTCATGAGAAATATTTTGATATACAACAGATTTATATAGAACCACTTATTTTCACAAAAACGTCATTGTCCACGAAATTTTTGGACAACCCTCGTATGAGAAATAATTATCAATTTTTCGATTTCCTTACCATAGTCAATCAATTGGCTTGCGTGATATTTTTTTAGCATAAACGCCCTATGCAAATTATCACGCAAGCCGCTCCGTTGATCAATCATGAAATCAAAAAATTAAACAGTTATACCTTAAAAACATATATATATATATATATATATATATATATATATATATATATATATATATATATATATATATATATATATATATATATATATATATATATATATATATTTAATAATTTATATATATGAAGACGTTTTTTAGAAAGAAAAATATATTTCCTTCATCGTCAAGAGCTATTATAATAATAACCTTTATTTATCCAGGATAACAAAATAGCATCAATCTAGTTTTCATTGTGGTCCTGCATTAAAACATATTCACAATCATATAAGGACATATAAAATTAGCATCTTAATATAAATACAATATAAAAAGTAAACACACATACGAGGGTTGTTCGAAAATTATTGAGACATTGTGTATATTTTGTTTTCTGATGAACGTCTTTCAGTGAAAATTGGCATATACGTTTGACATACACTAAAGATTAATATAAGCAAGAAATATTTTAAAAATATTAAATATTTCTCTACAATGTTATATAAATGTGTCAATAGTAGGGGTACCCGGAGCAGTCGCGGGATCAGACATTGAAAATATGTAACCTCAAAATTCTAACTCTTCGTGGATCAATAATGAGAGCGAAAATAATTCAGTTTAAGTGTATAATTTTTCAGCTTTGGTTCAAATTCATGTTGTGCAACTTTGATAGAATTTTGATCAGAATTACGGAGATCATAAAAAAAATTAAGCGCGGAAGAGAAATCTGCTAACAACGAAAAAATGGATTTTGACGTCAAGTGCGGAGCAGCCAGCATACCTAAAATTTTGTGTAGCGCAATGCAGAACTCTTTTCAAGACTGAACGACCTGCTAAAACAATAACAACGAGAAAAAAAATGATGTGTTAGGGTTTGTTACTTCCTTGGTATACATTTTTTAGCACTTAAATAAACAAGAGTAAAATTAAAAATTCTGGACGACCATGAGGTATTACATACAGTATTGATATCGTTACGGTATTTAACCCGCGTTACATAAATTGGCACCGCATGATTCTAAGTTGTCCTTTCCCATAGATGAAAATTTTTGACTGGGGTAGCAACAGCATACATTTTTAAAGAATAGTTTAAGAAAAGAGACTTTGATTTTTGTAATGTTATATATGTAATAACAAAGAAGGAAAAGTAATAAACGCTTCCCGATCCTTTCACATGCGAAACAACCTACGGCTAACTTAACGTTAAATGACGTAGCGAGGCTGCTCCGGGTCGATAGACATATGCATATTTATTACTTCACAGAAACTTATATAATCATCGTAAAAATTAGAAAATTTGCTTAAGTCTGTTAGACGTTCTTTATAAAATGTTGATGAATTTTCATGAAATTATCTCCGTCCTTTATGGAGTAAACGTAATTGTCTCAATAATTTCCGAACAGCCCTCGTACATATATAAACATTAAGAAACATTTTAAAAGCGGCTTGTGGGTTGTGGCCATTTTTAGACCATTTTGACTTCCTTTAGAAGAAGAGCTCCATATAAGGATATACAAAAGTGATCAAATATTAAAACTAAAATGTAGGAATTTTTCTCTGCCAAATGACAGTTTACAGCTTAAAATATCATATCTAAAAAAATAAGTAATACTAGTATCTGTTGGTTAAGTTGTGGTTTATTTGCTGACCCCCAGCCTCTTTAAGAATACGAACATAAAATGGTATACTCAAAGATTGGAAAAGAAATCCATTTAAGTATTGAGTCTGTTAAAATACTCAGTGAGATACACAAATTTAAAAATATCCACTGACCTAGAAATTCGAACATTTTATGACAGTTTGTTCCTAAATGAAAGTTTGTTAATTTCCGGTTTGGGTCTTGGTAAATATATTTGACATAAAATCATTCCACCTGGTTTGGCAACAACTGACATCTCTTGTATATTTGAAAAACATTCAAAAGATATGGCATTTGATTGTTGAAAACCTTTAATAGTAAAGTGACATGTATAAACAAGGAATGATCCTTGAAAATAAAAGGCTGATATGACCTGAAATATCTCGAATATTTAAGAATATCCTAGCTGCCTTCTTTTGAAGTTTGAATAACTTTTCTAAATACATTTAATTTTGCACATTGCGCCAAACAGTGGAACGGTAAGTAAAATACAATATTATTAAAAACCTAACTCACTGTCTTTTGCAAAGCCAGTTTTTTTTAAAATTTTCTTTGAAAAAAAAAATCGACATGTACATTCTAAGATTAGGTATTATCAATATAAACACCAAGTAATTTGGCCTGCTTCCCAAATTCAATTTGTACACCACTAAAATTTATGAAAAGATTTCTACATTTTTGCAATCTTTTAGATGTGCCAATAAGCATGCACCGCGGTTTTTTTTAAAGATTTCTACTGAGTTTATTTTTGTTCATCCATTGACTACCCAACTCGGGATCTTCCTGACATTTTTTCTCACCAAAGCTGGGTTCACTTAGACCTAGAGTATATCAATTTTTTGACTCACACTTTGTGTTTCATTTTAAACGTCAAGATAATACAAAGACTAAATACTTTAATTTACTATAAACATTTTTTTCTTAAAAGTTAATGTCTTGGAAACCAGTCCTAATTGAATTGCAATATTCTGGAATGTTAAGGTAAACAGGCATATTTGGGTATTTTTAGAGAAGGAAAATAATATGAGCGTAGCCACTGATCTTTAATTTTTTTTATAATCCTCAGAAACATTTCTATCATTTATTACTTGTATATATTAGATCAAAGGCTGAGCGCTATATTAAGTATCAAAAATAGCTGTAAAAATTAATGTTTTGTAGACCTTTTCTGAATATGATAAAATCGAAGCATTTTGTGACATCATGATGCG